AGAGAGATATACAGATATATATATAGAGAGATATACAGATATATATATAGAGAGATATACAGATATATATATAGAGAGAGAGTTACAGATATATATATAGAGAGAGAGATATATAAATAATAGATTGACATATTATGTAAGTTGATGTGTTTAATATAAAAGAATATAATATATATACAGAGACACGGGGAACATTCTCGCGGCACCTTAGAGAGCAGATAACAATTATAAATCAGGAATAAACACCCCGATATAAGAGAAATATATATATCACCCTCTATATACACCGGGGACATTATAAATACATTTCATCCAATCAGAAGGAAATTAATTTGTAACATAATAATTTATAATATAGAAGTAGAGGAAACACGAGGCGCTCCCCGATATATATCGATACACAGAATTGTATTATGGATGGGAAACGATTCGATCGATATAAATCTATATTTCGGGTCGGACAATCCTCGCAGATTATTTCCCGTTTTCTATCCGCCGATAATTTCCTATTTATAGCGAATAATCGGCCGAACAAAATGTCACCTTCGGAAAGAATTATTCCCGATAGTCAGAGTTTTATTTCCATGTATAATCCCTCCAATGTCACCCACAGAGGCCGGAGCGCGGCTTGTAGAGTCGGCGGAATTACATTCTGATTTTGTCTGATTTGAAAACTTTCACCGAAAAAAATATAGATTGTGGGGTGAGGGGTACATTGTATATAGATTGTGGGGTGAGGGGTACATTGTATATAGATTGTGGGGTGAGGGGTACATTGTATATAGATTGTAGGGTGAGGGGTACATTGTATATAGATTGTAGGGTGAGGGATACATTATATATAGATTGTAGGGTGAGGGGTACATTGTATATAGATTGTAGGGTGAGGGGTACATTGTATATAGATTGTGGGGTGAGGGGTACATTGTATATAGATTGTGGGGTGAGGGGTACATTGTATATAGATTGTAGGGTGAGGGGTACATTGTATATAGATTGTAGGGTGAGGGGTACATTGTATATAGATTGTAGGGTGAGGGGTACATTGTATATAGATTGTGGGGTGAGGGGTACATTATATATAGATTGTAGGGTGAGGGATACATTGTATATAGATTGTAGGGTGAGCGGTACATTATATATAGATTGTAGGGTGAGGGATACATTGTATATAGATTGTAGGGTGAGCGGTACATTATATACAGATTGTCGGGTGAGATCCCATACACGATATTTATGAGATAATTTCCTGTTTATGTAGCAGAGTGAATGTTAGTAAATACGATGATTCCGGGTCACTTTCTTAATAATGTGCGAATATTAGACGAGGACTCCGCTTCACCTTATTTATCAACATTCGCTCTGCTCACTGAAGATTCACTCAACTTCCTCAGTGAACCGTCCACATTACACAGGAGGGAAGATTTCCGTCCATTGATCGGACAGATGATGTATAGAGGGGACTCGGAGCTCTGATCACTTCCATTATCCGATCATCAATGAAACCAATAAACCGGAAATCACTTTTCCCATCAGTAGGTGATTGAAGTGAATACATTGTATATAGATTGTGGGGTGAGGGGTACATTGTATATAGATTGTGGGGTGAGGGGTACATTGTATATAGATTGTGGGGTGAGGGGTACATTGTATATAGATTGTGGGGTGAGGGGTACATTGTATATAGATTGTGGGGTGAGGGGTACATTGTATATAGATTGTGGGGTGAGGGATACATTGTATATAGATTGTGGGGTGAGGGATACATTGTATATAGATTGTGGGGTGAGGGATACATTGTATATAGATTGTCGGGTGTGGGGAAGTCTCGGGGTTGCGGTCTCTTTCTCTCACTTTCGATTTTGTTCGCAGCTTCTGATTATTTCGTTCAGGAGAATACGAGACTCCCCCTTAATCTACACCCGACTTTTTAAAATCCTTCTCACCCCAAACTACACCCGAATTTTCCTCCTAAACCACACCCGATGTTTTTTATCCATTTCCTCTATTTACAAACAAACTCTTTCCATTCACCGAACTTCACCCGAATTCTTCCCAGACTTGTCTCGCTCTCTGCCCGGATGTGTATCGCACTCACCCCTGTCTACACCCGAATTTGTAGCCTTCGCCCCCTAAACTACACCCGAACTCTTCCCTTCTCGCTGTCAGCAGGATTTCAATCTCTCTGTACACCCGTTTTTTCCCTCCCCACCCCGGATTTGTACCGTTCTCTTCTCTCTATACACCCGGAATTGTAACACGCTGTTCACCCGGATTTATATCCCTCTCTCCTCTCGGTACACCCGTACACCCGGATTTGTGTCCCTCTGTACGCCTGGATTTGTATGTCTTTGTAAACCCGGATTTGTACCCCTATGGACGTCTAAATTCGCCCCCCCCCCCTCTCTCCTCTCCGTACACCCGTATTTGTATCCTTCTGTACACCCGGATTCGTTCCCCTCTCTCCTCTCCGTACACCCGGATTTGTATCCTTCTGTACACCCGGATTCGTTCCCCTCTCTCCTCTCCGTACACCCGGATTTGTATCCTTCAGTACACCCGGATTGGTTTCCCTCTCCACTCCGAAAGTTTGGTGTAAAGTTTTGGGGTGACTCACCCTGGAAGCGGTGGCCCAAGTAGCGGTATCGATGGATAAGCCAGGGGTAGAAGGATGAGGGGTCCCTCTGCTGGGAGGTGAAGATGGGGTGCGGGCTGTTTTGCAGCGGGTGAGGTGCCAGGCCGGTGGGCACCGGGTGGACGGGGTTCTGGGGGTCGCTGAAGATGAGATCGGGGTTCGGGTAGACTCCTCGGCTGCTGGGCGGGTGGAAGCCGTTCAGAAAGGGGTTCATCGGGCTGGAATTGGCATAGCTGAGGGCGGCGGGTCGGATGGGCTCCTCCACTCGGCTGATGGGCACCGGGCTGTCTTTGGCCACCAAAGATTCAATAGTGAAGCACCGCTTGGGAGCCGGCTGGAACATGGTGGCCCGCGGGCTCTGAAGATCGGTGGGCACCGGCGGGTCACTGCAGCTCCTCCATCCCAAACCTCCGACTACTTGTGTCCGACCGTCTGTGTGTGTGTGTCTGAGAGTGTGTGTGCCCCACTAATGACACACCAGCTTCCTGCGCCCGCTCATTGGACGCCCGAACACCCGGCAAGAGGAAAAACCCGGAGCGGATCCGGACAGCTGCAGAGAGCAGGAGCTGCCACACCCGGGGCTCTGATGAGGCCGAAAATGCCTCCTCCTCCTCCTCCACCACCACCACCAGCCCCTGTGTGCCCCCAAACAGCTGTATACTGCCCGTGTGATGTGCGAGTATACAGTATATACAACTTCTCTAAACTGTCTACAGTTCTCCCCATGTGTCTATATCATGCCCAACATGCACCTCTATATAATGCCCCCCACACACCCCTATCTAATGTCCCCCATACACCCCTCCACCTATATAATGTTCCCCATACACCACTATATAATGTCCCCCATACACCCCTATATAATGTTCCCCATACACCACTATATAATGTTCCCCATACATCCCTATATAATGTTCCCCTTACATCCCTATATAATGTTCCCCATACACCCCTATATAATGTCCCC